CATGGATGACCCTGCTGTTATATGAATACTGGTGACACAGCTTCCAGCATCACTGCAACACACAAGCCCCCTCAACAAACTGACAGATGCATGTCATAACCATGACCAATGATGCTTTATACCAGAAACGCAGGGATGGTTCAACATTAGAAAATCAACCACGGTAATACACCTCATCAATAGAACAATGGGAAAAAAATACATGATCATCTCCATGGATGCAGAAAAAGCATTTGCTAAAACCCAAGACTCTCGATGAAAACCTTCGAGAAGATTGGAATAGGAGGGAAATTTCTCAATATGATTCAGGGCATATATGAAAAGCCAACAGCCAACATTATATTTAATCGAGAAAGACTAAGAGCTTTCCCCCTAAAATCTGGAACAAGACAAGGGTGACTGCTCTCACCATTTCTATTCAATATTGTATTAGAATTCCTAGCCAGAGCAATAAGACAGGAAAAAGAAATGACAGGTATCCAGATTGGAAAAGAAGAAGTATAATTATTTTTGTTTGCAGATGATATGATTATACTATGTATAGAAAGTCCCAAAGGGTCTGTAAGAAAACTTCTAGAGCTAATAGAGGGATTTAGAAAAGTCGCAGCCTACAAGGTCAACAAACAAGAATCAGTTGGGTTTCTACACACCAGCAATGAGAAATCTGTAATAGAAATTAGGAAAACAATTCAATTTACATAAGCATCTAAGAGAATAAAATACCTAGGAATAAATCTAACCACGGAGGTGAAGGACTTATACAATGGAAATTATAAAACACTGTTGAATGAGATTAAAGGAGACTTAAATAAATGGAAAGATGTTCAGTGTTCTTGGGTTGGAAGGCTTAATATCGTTAAGATAGCAATACTATCCAAAACAATCTATAGATTCAACATAATCTCAATTAAAACTCTAACAGCTTTCTTTACAGAAATGAAAAAGCCAATCCTCAACCTTATGTGGAATGACAAGAGGCCCCAAATAGCTAAAGCTGTGTTGAAAGAGAAGAACAAAGTAGGAGGACTCACACTTTCTGATTTTAAAACACACTGTACAGCCGTACAGTAATCAAAACAGCCTGGTACTGGTATAACAATAGATATATAGACCAATGGAATAGAACTGAGAGTCCAGAAATAAACCCAAACATCTATGGTCAACTGATTTTTCACAAAGGTGTTAAGTCCATTCAAAGGGGAAAGAAAAGTCTCTTCAATAAATCTGGATTTCCAGATGCAGAAAAATGAAACAGAATCCATGTCTCAAACCATACAGAGAAACAAATTCAAAATGGATTAAGGACCTAAATGTGCAAACTAAAACCATAAAATTCTTGGAAGAAAAAACAGGGGCAACACTGTCATGCCTAGCTATTAACAATGGGTTATCTAATATAATAACAAAAACGGAAACAGCAAAAGACAAAATAAGTAAATGGGACCTCATAAAAATTAAAAACTTTTCCTCATCAAAAGACTTTACTAAAAAAGTGAAAAGACAAGCTACCTACTAGGAAAATATCTTTGGAAACCATATATCCGATAAGAATCTAATAACCAAAATATATATAAAACTTCCATAACTTAACACCAAAAAACAAAGAACCCAATCATAAAATGGGCAAAGGACTTGAATAGACATTTCACCAAAGAGGATATTCATATGGCCACCAAACACATGAAAAGATGCTCAACGTCATTAGTCATCACAGAGATGCAAATCAAAACAACAATGAACTACCACTAGGATGGCTAAGGTAAAAAACAAAAAACATAAAATAACAAATGTTGGCGAGGATGTGGAGAAATTAGAACACTTACCCATTGCTGGTGGGAATGCAAAATGGTATGGCCTTTGTGGAAAACAGTGTGGTGGTTCCTCAAAAAACTAAAAATAGAACTACCATATGGCCCAATAATTCTACTCCTAGGTATATACCCAAAATAACTGAAAGTAGAGACTCAGATAGAGACTTGTACGCCAGTTTTCATTGCAGCACTATTCACAATAGCCAAAAAGTGAAAACAATGTAAATATCATCAACAGATGAATGGATAAACAAAATGTGGTACATACATACAGTGGAATACTACTTAGCCAGTAGAAGAAACAAAGTCTGGATAAATTGACATTATGCTGAGTGAAATAAGTCCATCACAAAAGGACAAATATTGTATGACCTCACTTACATAAAAAGGCAAAAAAAGGCAAACGTATGGAGACCAAAGTTTCTTAGTCATTACAGGGGCAGGAGGGAGGCGGAAAGAGGGGGTTAATGGTGATGGAAAAATTGTATTGACTGAGGGTAGGGTTGCACAGCTACTTATTGTAGTTGATGTCAATAAGTTATACACATGTAAGATGTTGAATTGGCAAAAGCTGTGTGATAAACATATTTACAACAGTGACCAAAAAAAGAGTAGCTGCTGAGGCTGCTTATATACAAGCAAACACCTCATGGGATTCGGTTCCTTGGTTTGGTGATTTAGGGTCATGGTTTCATGGAACATCTTAGTTAACTGGACTAATAACGTGTTTAGTGCTTCTGTTCTAACTCCTTTTTTTGTTGCATAGTGCCGGGGGTCTTAAAAGCTTGCAAGAGACCATGGTAGGCATGGCAATTGGCCTCTATTCACCTGAAGCAACAGAGGAAGAAGGCGAATCAGGTAATAGGAAGAGGACATGGAATGTGTGGCTAACTGACTCCATGAACAATTGCCTCCTTTGCCGTGAGACCAGAAGAACTGAATAGTGCCTGGCTACCATTACTGAACATTTTGACCATAGATTCTATAGAAGAATCCTAATCAAAACGGGGAAAATGCAGAACAGAATTTCAAATTCTCATGGACTCTAGACTTTCTGGTGCCACGGCTGCTGGATGAATCCCTGAAACTATTGCTCTGAGATGATCTTTAAACCTTAAACCAAATAAATACCCTGACATCTTCTTGGGGCCCTGGTGGTACAGTGGTTAAGCGTTTGGCCGCTAAGCAAAAGGTCAGCAGTTCAAATCCACCAGCCACTCCTTGGAAACACTATGGGGCAGTTCTACTCTTTCCTACAAGGTTGAATAGGAATCGACTCAACGGTAACAGATTTGGTTTTTTTTTTTTGGTTTGTTTGTTTTGAAGTCTTCTTAAAACCAAACAAGTTTAGCTTAACTAGTAAAAAAAGTCTGCCTTGAACGTTACACTCTTTTAAGAACTACCTATATGCAATCAAAGCGACAACAGCAACTGGGAAGATTAGATAGTAACCTTCTGGGGCAGTGAGTTTCTGTTAATGGGAGAGGAATAACTTCAGAAAAGGAGGGTGAGTATGGTTGCACAACCTGAAGAATGTAATCCAAAACCAAACCCATTGCCATAGAGTTGATTCTGACTCAAAATCTTTGGAGTGCAACACACACAGCTCCACCACTGACTATCTGCTTTACATGGGCGCCTTAACCTCTGATCCTTGGTTTGATTTTTTATAAAATGGAAACAAGCCCTACTTCTCAGTTACTGTTAAGTTAAAATGAGATAACATATATGTGTAAAGCACAGTCTAGAATATAATACGCATTCAATAAACGGTAAGTGCTATTATTACACTGAAATCTGTGACAGCTGGAACTTGACAGGACTGCCTTGTTTTTCTGGGTCTTGCCAAGTTTTTTTTTTTTTTGCCTTTGACAGGATGCAGTCTTACCACTTTTCTATCATTCGTTTTAGTGGAAAATACTTGGGTTTTCCTTCTCTGACAGGTTTCTGCTTTATATAGGTTCCAGCTTTTGCCAAGTTTTACCATATGTGGAATTAAAAAGGAAAGTTTTAAAAGTTGTGTGTGGGTGCTTGATGACTATCCTAACAACTATGAAAAAGAGAAAAAAATAAATCTGCTGTCACAAAAAGAAATGAGGATAGATAATGGGGGATAGGAAAGTCCAAGGGAACGAACTGGTATTCAGACAGCAAAAACCAGATTTATATAATCCGTTTTGGTCCCTATAGATAAAGAGTTACAGGATGACTTTTTTTTTTTAACAGTATGCTAACATTCATTTCCTTATGCATGCTCAATGTCATTTTAAAATAAGTTGTGGCAAAGGACAGGGAATACAGGGATTGCCTTTGTATCAATGACTAAGTTTCTCCTTAGGGAAATGCCATCCCTTCTATCATGTAGTTTCCCTGTGCTGGCTTATCTACCTGATTCTACCAGTAGAGGTTACTCAAACACTCCAGAGCCTATCCCTGGAACATTATTCCATGAAAGTACCATCTCAAGACTGCCTCACTGAAAAAATTGACCTTAATTACTTCAACAAACAATGGGAGAGATCAAGAAATAATATGGCCCTCATGAACTGGCTCTGAATGGAGGTGCTACTAATTTAAGGCAGTGACCTTTGCAGAAATCCCCCAAGAATGGCCATTTTTTAGATGCTGCCTAGTTTAATTATGAACCTTTTCAGCTTTACCTGAAGTCCACACGGTGCTGACCCCTAAGGAGTCAAAAATGAATGCTATCCCAGTTGTTTTAAGAGGACTGCAATCCAGGAAAATCCTCCTGCCTTTGAAACTATCAATCCAAAGTGCCATATACTTGGCTGCCACTGAAACAATGAGCCTCTACTATGGCCTGACTTTTGCCAAGATTTACGCAGCTCCACAGTTTGATGAAGAAAAACCTTCTATAAATCTGGTTTGAAAGAACATATTCTTCCCTTAAGGGCAGTGTAATTAGTGTCTGACGTGTTGGCATTACCTGTGACACACAGTTTATGCTACCTAGTTCACCTGTAAACCATTTCAGTTCTTCTGATACTCAGTAGGGGTGATCACAGACTAGGCAAGCATATAAGCTACTCCAATTGTTTTGAGAAGAATGTATTTTGGAATAACCTGCATGCTTATAAATTACTGGACCACAAAGCTAGATTGCAATGAAATAATCTGTCAATTGTGCTTTGGAAATGACATCTCAAAGGTCTTTCCTCCCCTACTTACCTTAATCTCTGAAAGGGCTCTCCTCTTCTGCTGTATGTTCACTCACATGGAAGATCTGGTGACCTCTCTAAAATGCTTTTCAAAGACATCCTTCACAGTTCAGCCTCGTGATGGGTTACGAAGAGGAAAAAAAATGTTTTGATTATCTATGACCCTCTCCACACTCAGCTTGGTCATCCTCCATTGCATTGAGAGACTCCAAAAAGGTCAAAGCTGGAAGGATCTTCAAGAAAGTTACATAAACCCCTCATTCTACTGATTGAAAATTGAGGTTCAGCAATGGGAACAAAATTGGCCAACATCATGCAGAGAGGAAGTAAAAGGCAGAATGAGAAGAGTGGAGAAACACAAGATGTTGTTTAGTCTAACCCAGCCATTTTTAATGTAATTTTTCATAACACAATGAAAAAAAATCTGATATAACACTTATGCCACATTATACATTTATTAGTTTATTTATTCCTTTATCTACCCTTACAAGAACGAAAGTTCCATGAGCCAGAACTTCATTAATATCTAGAACAGTCCCTGACAGTTAGTAAGTACTTACTGAGTGTTGAAGAAAGAAGGGAAGTGCTGCATCCAGGCGACTTTTCCTTCTCTTCTCCACCATCAACTGGGGAACCCTACCAAAACCACTGACCACTTACCAAGGCTTCTCAACTTCCTCCCAAGGATGTCCAAGGCAATGGCAATTCATTCTGGCTCTCTGGTGAACCCACTGGGCAGAAAGTCTCAGTATAAGTGACAGGCAGGTCTTAATGTTGCTCTTGACCAATGACAAGGTTTCTGGCTGCCCAGGAATCTGCATTTTTAACAAGCACCCAGGTGATTTTAATGTAAATAAAATTTTACACCATACAGATTTCCATTATTATGTACTGGGAAAGCCAGCACAACCTGTACAAGGCAAGGTCATGGAAGCTCCATAGACACAACCAAACTCCCTGAGGGACCGAATTGCTGGGATGAGGGTTGTGAGGACCATGGTCTGGGGGAACATCTAGCTCAACTGGCATAACACAGTTCATAAAGACAATGTTCTACATGCTACTTTGGTGGGTAGTGTGTGGGGTCTTAAAAGTCTATGAGCAGCCATCTAAGATACTCCACTGGTCTCACCCCTTCACAAGCAAGGGAGAATGAAGAAAATTAAAGATACAAGGGAAAGATTAGTCCAAAGGACTAATGGACCACAACTACCAAGGCCTCCACCAGCCTAAGTCCAGTACACCTTGATGGTGTCCGGCTACCACCACCGACTGCTCCGACAGGGATCACAATAGAGGGTCCCGGACAGAGCTGGAGAAAAATGTAAAACAAAATTCTAACTCACAAAAAAAGACCAGACTTACTGGCCTGACAGAGACTGGAGAAACCCTGAGAGTATGGCCTCCAGACACCCTTTTAGTTCAGTAATGAAGTCACTCCTGAGGTTCACCCTTCAGCCAAAGATTAGACAGGCCCATAAAACAAAAGGAGACTAAAGGGGCACACCAGCCCAGGGGCAAGGACTAGAAGGCAGGAGGGGACAAGAAAACTGGTAATAGCGAACCCAAGGTTGAGAAGGGAGAGTGTTGACATCTCATGGGGTTGTTAATGAATGTCGTAAAACAATTTGTGTACTAACTGCTTAATGAGAAGGAAGTTTGCTTTTTAAACCTTCATCTAAAATACAATAAAAAAAAAACAATAAAAATCTCAAAAAAAAAAAAAGAAAGAAATTTCCAGCACTATGGAAGTACAATCTCAGAGGCTATTATAAAAAAAAATCTCTCAGAATGGAATAAAAAGTTTTCTGCCTCACATGGCCTCCTTGGATTTGGAAGGACTCTAGAGCAAGCACTGGGTAAAAGACACAGTAGTGGCTTAGATTCCAATGCATTTTCTAGTCTAACTAGCTATAATCTTGGGCAAGATATTCAATTCCTTCATCTATAAAAATGAAAGAACATGAAAAGAAAAGGTTAGGCTGGTTACTCTCTAGTATAGCCTGAAAATTTTAAGAACTTTTTCATATCATGATGGAAAAACGTCAAGTAATTGCCTAATGCTTATTAAGACTACATACCCTGCCCCTTCCCACCAACTGGATAAGTCCACCAAAGCTACTGACCACTTACCAAGACTTCACAATGATTTGATGACCATGTGCAAGGATGCTGATTTGAGCCTCTCCCAATTCTCTACTAATCTCACTGGTCCAGCTGGGGCTGAATATACACCTTCATTAGTGGCAAGATTTTTGATTGCATTTAATATCACCTGCAGGATAAGGAGAAGAAAGAAGAAACAAACTTAATATGGAACAGTCAAGGTTGAGATCTAGCTATAATTTTATTTTTACCACCTCAGTCAAGTCATCCAGCCTACACCATGTGCCTCAGATTTCACTCTAGCTAAGCAATAGCATTAGCAACACAATTATGTTCTTTATCTGGCAAAGGCTAGCACAAGGTCTAAAATTATTATCTAATAAGGTTTCTTGCCCCCATTTAAATGACACAACTTGGGTACGAACAGAGGCACCAAGTGATTATACCAAAGTGTTAGAACTCAGATGTGAACTACTGATGCTGATCTTTCTAGTTGGCTGAAAGTATTTCTACTCTTTGGATCTCAATATCCTATTCTTAAATACGGGTGAACTTGATCGCTTAGGAGCCACCTTCCATGTCTAGCAGTTTATGACCCCATGTTCTATACTCCTAACCAAAACAGCCCCCCCAAAAATGAATGAAACTTCCATCTAGTCATCAGATGGCACTTGATTCACACTGATAAGGAAAGCTATCAAAACCGTGAACTTTGGACCAAGCCCTGTCACATACATCATCCCACCAGGGATACTTGTATCTACCTAAAAGGAGCCTGTCCTTTCTCCCCTTATGTGAAAAGGAACCAAATATATCTATTCCCTTACCTAGCTGCCTGGGTTATCAAAAAAATCACAAGAAGCTAAGTAGGCCGGTGGCTAGTCCCCTACCTCCAAGACTCAACCAGTCGGAGGAAGGGGACTCTGAGATGTGAGACCACACAAGACAAGTCAAAGACTCTCAAGGGTCCTTCTTTTGAATGAAGTATTCAATTGTCTGTAAATTTCCCAGACCCTAGCTACTTAAGATGAAAATCAACCTGGAAATCTGACAGCTGAATGATGGCCTAAAGCCCAGGCTTTATCATTAGATACTGGCAGCACCAGCTAGTGCTGTTACATTTCCTGTTACTCAGTCAGATGCAGGCAGCCCTCAACCCCCATAAAGACCCAAGAAGCAGTTTCCCAGGACTCATCTTTAACTATTTCACCCACCACCCCACCAGCAAAAAAGTATCTGTCCTCTAATCTACTAGTGACCATGAAACCCAGGGAGAAAGTTCTCCCACCAAAGATTGGTGCTGCCAAGCTGGGGAGGTGGGGGGAGGAGAGCAGGAGCCTTGGTGGGTTTAAGTCATCACTTTATTGGAGCAACTAAAGCAGCCACTACTAGAAGAAGATATGAACACCCACAAGCCACTGCTGCCATTAGCATTATTGTAGTTCATTAAAGGCCAGAGGGACAAAGTGGGAAAGGAATGTGTATAGGACCTAAATGAAAAATAAATGTTAAGTGTAAATCCTGATATATGGAATACCTGCACTAAAGAGTCAAGAATAAAAAAGTAGTGCTCTTCCCCATCCTATCCAGCTCTTTTCCAACATAAACTGCTCCAGGTCATTCATAAGACAGTTTCAAGCCCCCTCACCACCCCCATTTACACTACTTCTGTTCAGGTCAACAAATTTCAAAATGGAAATAGTTTCAATGACTCTCTAACGTTGAAAGTCATAAATGCACACTATAAAAAAATTCCAAAAATGTTAAATAAGTGTTGGTGAGGATGTGGAGAAACTGGAATTCTCATCTATTACTGATGAGATTATAAAATGGTACAGCCATTGTGGAAAACTGTTTGGTGATGTCTCAAAAAATTAAACATAGAATTATCATATAACTCAGCAATTCCACTTCTAGCTATATAGCCAAGACTTGAAAGCAGGGACTCAAACAGATACTTGAAAGCCAGAGGTCATTAAAAAGACAGGTGTGGTGAGAGGTGGGGCCAAGATGGTGGAATACAAAGACACTTCCTGTCATCCCTCTTACAACAAAGACCCAGAAAAACAAGTGAATCAACGATATATGACAATCTAGGAACCCTAATCATCAAAGACAAAGCTGAAGAATGGGACTGAGTGGCAGGTAGAAGGAGAGACAATTCAAAAGCATCAGAGAAGTAAAACTGCAAGATCACCAGCACCCTGCTAGCTGAGTCTGCGCATGGCACATGAGCTCAGGCAAGCACAACATCCAAAGACAAGTCCCATCCCATCAGGTGCAGCCAAGCAGCAACAAATCTGCATGTGCCTCCAGAACCAAGTAGGAGCAACACTAGATCTTCAAAAGTTAAGTACAAGCTTCTAACCCAGAGCGTAGGGGCAAAATAAGCCTTCTCCTTCCCAGAGTTTCACAGTGGAGAAATGCTTCCTTCCCCTCACCCATGCCCCACCATGCTACGCTCCACTCCACCAGTATTCAACAACTGCCATGCCCCCTAAGCAAGGAACTCAGGACTCTCCACTCCCACACTGGTCTCACAGCTTTAAAAATTCCATGACCCCTGACCTAGGAACTCAGGATGGGTCAGGAGGCCCCGTCCCTTAGCCTAGCCACAGGCACAGGGGGTCCATGGACTTGCAATGCCCTTCACCTCTGCCAAGACCTGTGCAGGCCAATTCAACACTCCATGCTGTCATTAGCATAAAACAGCAAGGCATACACCTGAAGCCCATGTTCAACTGCAGCAGCCAAGGGGGAGCTGCAAGATTCGTGACATTTGACACCACCCTGTCCCTTAAGCAGGGGCCTCACCCACTCACACCAGGGGCCTGAGGGCTAGCAGTACCACCCACTCCAACTAGCCACTCATGACAGGGGTCTGAGAATAAGTGGTGTCTCCCAGTCCCTCCAGCCAACAGCACCAAATGCCCAAGGAGCAGCTGAAATACTGCTCCACCACACACTCTAGGGGACAGGGACATGTCTTCCACCTAGGTACCCGGGGACAGCCATCAACCCCCTGCCTTGCTCCACACATCACCCCCTACTGCAGCCAGATACCTGTGCCCAACCCAAACACCCCTGTGCAGCCCTGCCCATCTAGGACTGTAGGTGAGAGTCTGCACCACACAGTGAACAATGACCTGGACACCTGTGCTGCACCCCCACAAGAAAAGTGAACAGATTCCTGGCCTCACACACCTAGTACCTGCTCTGACCACATGGAGACAGGACATGAGAGCTTCAAAGATGCCAATAACCAAAGTAGCTCACATGCCCAGCCTACTTGGACATATCAAAATGAAATAAAACAAAAAGTTAGGACACAGTAAACAAACATACAATCTATAAATATAATAACTCATTGATGCCTCAGAGACAACAGTCAATATCAAATTACATAAGGACGCAGGTCAAGATGATTCTAGCAAGCAACCAAAATAAAGAACCAGGAAACCTTCCAGAGGAAGATAAGGTCATGGAACTACCTGAGAAAGAATTTAAAAGACTGACATACAGACCTCTCCAAGAGATCAGGAAGGAGATTAGGTAAAGCTCAGACAAAACCAAGGAACACACAGACAAAGCAATAGAGGAATTCAGGAAAACAACACAAGAACAAAATGACTAAATTAATTGGCTGATAGAATCCACACAGAGACAGCAACTAGAAATTCAAAAGATTAACAATAAAATTTCTGAATTAGACAACTCAATAGAAGGTCATAGAAGCAGAACTGAGGCAACGGAAGTCAGAATTACTGAGATTGAAGATAAATCCCTTGATACCAATTTATTTGAGGAAAAATCAGAAAAAAGAATTTTAAAAAATGAAGAAAACCGAAGAATAATGTGGGACACTATCACGAGGAAAAACCTACGAGTGGTCAGAATATCAGAATGGGAGGTGGGGAAGATAACAGAAAACACAGAATTGTTGAAGATTTGCTGGAAGAAAACTTCCCTGATATCATGAAAGATGAGAAGACATCCATCCAAGAAGCTCAATGAACCCCATACAGGGAAGAACCCAAAAGAAAGTCATCAAGACATATCATAATCAAACTTGTCAAAACCAAAGACAAAGATAGGATCTTGAGAGTGGCTAAGGATAAATGAAAAGTCACCTACAAACGAGAACCAATAAGACTAAGCTCTGACTACTCAGGAGAAACTACACAGGCAAGAAGGCAATGGGATGACATATATAAAGCCTTGAAGGAAAAAAATTGCCAGCCAAGAATTCTATAACAGCAAAACTGTCTCTCAAACATGATGGTGAAATTAGGTCATTTCCAGATAAACAGAACTTAAGGGAATTTGCAAAAACGAAACCAAAATTACAAGAAATATTAAAGAGAGTCCTCCAGGTGGAGAACCAACAATTTCAGACAACAATCCAAGATGAGACACAGGACAAATCAACCAGTTATCAACTCAGATAGGGAATTCACAAAAATAAATCAAAACTAAAATACTGAAAATAGAGAACCAGAGACGTCAATATGTAAACAATGAAAAAAGAGAGAATAAACAGTGTACTCATAAACTTCCATATGAAGAGGAAGTTAAAGTGATATCAAGAAATAAAAGACTGCTTTAAACTTAGAAACATAAAAATAAGTTTCAAGGTAACCACAAAGGAAGATAACAAACTTACCCACCAAAATAAAATGAAAGAAAACATAAAGACTCAGCAAACACAAAATCAATGATGAGAATACATAAAGAAAAAAAATTCAGCACAGAAAATGAAGTAGAACAAAGACACTGTCAACAACACATTTAAAAAAAAAAAAAAACACCAAAATGACTGCAATAAACTTATACCTATCAATCATTACACTGAATGTAAATGGCCTAAATGTAGCAATAGAGAGTTGCAGAATGGATAAAAAAAAGAAGATCTGTGTATAAACTCTCTAAAACACACCCCTCAAAAACAAAGACACAAACAAACTAAAACTCAAAGGATAGAAAAAATATAACAAGCAAACAACAATCAAAAAAGAGCTGGAGTGGCAGTATTAATCTCTGACAAAATATTTAAAGTAAAATCCACCACAAAGGATAAGGAAGGACACTATCTAATGACTGAAGGGTCAATACACCAGGAGGACATAACCATAATAAATATATACACACACAATGACAGGGCTCCAAAAT